CCCACTAGTAATAATAATGTTAGTAATAGGACTATATCTTAATAACAATACGAATTTAATATTATATAATGTATGGATATACATATGATTATTTTTTTAAATCCAAATTGTTAAGTAAATAAATTTAAGCCTTATGCAAATAATTTGCTTATTTTTCGATGCTCTAACAAAAAAATATGATTACGAATGTATATATTTAATTTTTTAATTGTTATTTTAAAATCATTTTTAGATATTGGAGACATCCCGCCATTCCAGAATATTGTTAATTATTAATTTATATGTATAATATATACTTTTCTATGATAAAATACATGCAGATATATTATGAGATTATATTTAATAAATTTTGATTTTTGTTGATTTAGATAATTTTTTTATCAAAATACCTTATATTCTTTTATCAATGATATCGTGATTACATGAATTTAATTAAAAATGTGTGGATACAAAAAATTCGAGATAAGTCGAATGGATACCTTTATATTAGCGAGGTATTATTAATTAAAATTTTGGGAAAATGCAGAAACAAAAAGATTGTTAAATTTTATATATAATAACAAATTTTGCAGAAAGCATACTTAGTTCTTTAAAAAAATCTCGTTATTATTAAGTTCGATTTATCTCAAACAGTTGGTACCCGAAATACTTTTGTATTCATACGTATAAAAAATTACAATAATGCATGTGTTTTATTACTATTAAATATATTCCTTCGTAATCACCATTCCATAAGGAAATTATTTTATCTTTTTATTTTTAATAATAGATGATTTGTAGTAATATGTGGCAGAACATATAATTTCCTCGCAAATTTTGATATTACATTAAAAATGCAATAAAAATATAATTAAGATGCTACTAAAATTATTTCTGTCATAAGTGATCTGAAAGATTTGGAATTCACATCCTTCTGTAATAAGACCGCTGGTGTTTCACGGATTGCTTAACTTTTTTTTGCGAATGGATCTTATGAATTTGACGTGGAATCAGAATATATCAAGTTCGCTTTTCTAGAAGATTTTTTTTTTCTTTGTATAGGATACTAACCTTATCACAACGTGGAAAGACCTTGATCAAATTATCAGGATAATTATCTTAAATGCAATGAAAGTTTTGTCGTAAATGTATTAATGACTTTTTATCACGATATTAATAAGTTTTATAATATAATCGCAAGTTAATAATTAATAGTAAATACGATCTAATTATTATTAATATTTTCATTCCACATTTATCAATATTTCATTAAACATTGGTTTAGAAAATTTGTGTTATCGTATGTATTTTCGACATTTTCGTATAATATCTCTAAATTACTAAATTTTATTAATTGTGCTCCTATAATAATTCTTATTATATTTCGAACAACATTTTTTATTATACATTGTATTGTAAATAATTATTGTATTATTAAAGGATTACAATAAAAGATAATATTAAAAAGCTATGCAATGTAATTGTTAATTATTTTATTGTATTTCGCTAATCATAATGCAATATGATTTTAGCGAAATGTAATAAAATAATTAAAGAAAAAAAGAGAGATATAAAATTAAAAAATAAATTTAAAACATACATACCTGCAAAAACCAACTAAATTTATTAGTAACTCGTTTTTTTACGGGGGAATATACTTACAAAGAAAAGAGGATCGCCATTAAAAATTGGCGAGGGTGGTGGAGGGCCTCTTGATTCATTTTTATTCATATAAATTTTCTTCACAATTTTAAATTAAATGTAGTTTGCTTATACAATTAGAAGAGTTCTAACTTTATTCAAATTGCAAATTGCAAATTGTAAATATAATTATAAGATTAAGAATGAGGTAGAGAGCCTACAATTAGAGTGACGCCATACGGGTATCACTTGTGATTGGTCCGCCATGTTTTAGCCATTCCCTCTAGTTTTTTAACCCTCATTATTTTCTAAATTTTGAATTCATGCTAAAAAATACTTTTATTATTTTCATAACATATCCTTTTTTTAATGAATTGTTACAAAACGTATTGTATATCCAACCATATTTCTAAAATTATTTCGATAATTTTATTTTTATCAATGTATCTTTACGTATCTATATCGTTCAATGCTGTTGCACCTAACTCTAAAACAGTCTGTTGGATAGACTGAGACCGTATATCTCTTTCTCTCTCGCAGAATTTCGCTAAAATATGACGTCATCTCTCGTATAGTGCCACTCTCTACTTTAAACAAGATGATAATTACAAAAACGAGCAAATTTACTAGGTGTTGACCAATGAAATAATCAGTATTCTAGTAAATTCGCTTACTTTTATAATTTTCGCTTCATTTCAAGATAAATCGATCCCCTGCTGACCGTAGCTGATCACCGAGGCCGTTATTCATAAAGTCACAATCAGACGCATCAGAAGATTGTGATTGAAAATTGAAAGATTGAGTGCGTTCAGCAGAAGAAGCAGCAACTGTTGTAAAATTCTTTAATATGATTAGTGTTGCCCTTAGTTTCTCACTGGATTTAAATGTATAAATCATTGAAATTTAACCAATCAAAACAATAGGAGCTAAAATTCCTTTGTCCTTATTGGTCAAATTTTAATTTTTAATTTTTAATCTTAGGCTGGAGGCCCTGAAGTGTATTTAAGGCTACCGCACACAAAATTTCTGTAACAATAATCCTAAACATGAACTTAAGCCGATGAGCCAATCAGGATACTGCTTTAGATCTACGCACATTAACGGAAATAGAAATAGCAGTAAACTTATCCGTAAGGCAAGTTTCAACCGGTTAAAAGTTCACCTTATTGCAAGATTATGGATAAGTTTATTATCATTTCCATTTCCATTTAGATTACGTAATCTAAAACAATATCCTGATTGGCTCATCGGTTTAAGTTTACATCTTACGGTTAGGGGCTCCGCACATATAATAAAAGAAACAAGGAATAGAGAACACAAAATAAGAATTTGAACCTATCAAAAATCATATATTGTGGAATACATAGTTTCTAATAGATTGAAATTCTTATTCTCTGTTCTCTGTTTCTTTTATTGTGCGGAGCCCCTTATTGTTGTGGAATTTTGTGTGCGGCATCCCTTACCGCGTATTGCGCAATCGCGTAACCAATCAGAAGCGATCTGCTGTGTGGATTCGCGTTTTACTGATCTTTAGTTATCTTTACTTATCGATTGGTTACGCGATTACGCGATACGCGGCAAATAGGCTTTGGGACTCCACCCTCAGGCTGCTTGCACATGCAGCATAACTTGCGTCAACCAAATTGTATCAAATTCAGCTATATTATGCCTTATTCTATTAAGACAATTTGATCGGCTAATGCAAGTTACGCTTATACATGTGAAAGCAGCCTCAGATAGTCTCACCAACTCCGATTAGCTCGGATCTATAATAGGCTTTTAAGTCTTTAGCCACAAGAAATGGACAAATCATAGTTTATTAATCATAGTTTATTAATCATAGATTATTCTTCTCGCGTTCCACTGTAATTGGTCAATTCCTTAAGACTTAAGGCTTAAAACATCTATTATAGATCCTTAATCTAATCGGTCGATTAAAGCCCGGTCTCGCCAATTCCGATTAAGCTAACCAGTCGATTAAGTGTCAACCGTGATTGGTCAATTCTGCTGAACAGCAAATGCGATTGATTAGTTCTAATGTAAAAATCCATCGATTAATCGGAGTTAGTGTCGTTGGTGAGACCGGCTTTCAGAGTGCAGTCGAGTTGCCGCTATGAATGCTTCAAAGCATTTTTTGATTGGTCAATTAGTAAAATTCTTTCTTCCGATTGGTTAATCAAATGCTTCAAAGCATTCGTAGTGGCAACTCGATCTCAATTTTTAATATGTAGGATGTGTAATCTGATTTCGACCTTATGCCCATGTCACACTACGCATTGAAGATTGAGGATTATGAAATAAGGATTAGAATTCAGCCAATTAGAATAAAACGGATTAAAATTAAAACTATCTGATTGGTCGAATTCTAATCCTTAATTCGCAATCTTCAATCTCTAATGCGTAGTGACACTGGCATTACTACCTAAGTTTTTTGTGGGCCAGGTCTTTTAACTTAAGTTTTACTTAAAATCTCATTACAAACGTCTCTAAAACTGTTCAATTTCTTACTTAAGGCCTTTTTTCTTGCTCATGATATCTCTGAACGCCGTATAATCGTGTGGCGAATCAATATCGTAGCGACGACGATTGTCAGCGTCGTACGGTATTACGCCACGACGCGCCGCAATGGGGCGCTCGCGTCCGCGGGGGTGAGTCAAATAAATAGCGGTGCGTTGCGCCGGAATCGGAGCAGACGTCAAACCACGTCAAACGTCACGCCAACGCGGTTACGATTGTTACGAGTGAAACACCGCCGAGGCCGAGATCGCAGCTCTTACGACACTAACAGACTTGACTGTTCGCGCACCCCCTCCGCAGGTCGTATTAGACCATACCAGACGACGGAAGACGGGATCGCGCGCCGCGGGTGCAGTTCCCAAGCGCGAGTCTCAGAGCCCCAGCGAGCGCGCCGTTCCTCGGAGGGGACCTCCGGTTGCGCTCGAGAATCTCGTCCCACCGATGAGCGAGCGGCCGAGGCGCGAGCGCGCTTCCACAGAGGGTGCCGCGCGGCCGTCACGGCGAGACAGGCCGCGGCCCAGGCTTTAAATTTAAAGACGGAGCGGATAGAGGAATGACGCTGGAGAACCCGTTCTTTGTCGTCAAGGAGTAAGTGCGCCGCGGGGGAAGGAGCCAAGGAGCAAGTGCATCGATTTTTCCTCCGCGCGATCGACATGCGTCGCACGAATCGGCACGAATCGGCACGAATCTGACGAAAGAAAAGAAAAAGGAAAGGATAGAGGGGATGATCGTTTTCGAGTGCGAATTAATCCCCTGCGTGTCATCGCCGTGACTTTTTTTTTCTCCGAGAAAGGGCTGTCAAGGGGTGGGTGGAGGGTAGCGATCGTGAGCGTGAGTGAGCGCGCGGAGAAGTGTAAGCGCTTGCAAACACGCCGATAACGGCGCGACCGATAAGAGGATCAATTAACCAATATTGGATATCGGCGTGATATCGTCGGATTAGATACTAAAAATTTATGTGATAACGGACGTTATCATTTTTGTTTCAAGAAATGTCACCTCTCGTCGCGATAGTTATCTCCGACTGACATATTGCTTTGACAGGGGATAATTCTCTGACGTGACAGACCAATACGTGTGATGGATCCTTTGTATAAATGTTGCACGATGTTGCGCGTTGATAGAATTTGTCGACATGATTCTTTCGGTGAAAGAAATGGAGCGATCGAAACGTTTTTTTTTTTAATGTAGATATGTCTGTAATAAAAGGAGCTCTATCTACGCGAAATATCTATGATTTTTTCCCTAAAGATTAGATACAGTTCGGACGGAGATACCGTAAAATTGTTTGTATAATAATTATTAGATATTGTAATAATTTATTGTAATCTTTGAATTTGAGTGAAAGAAATTTCTAATAAAAGTTTAATGCAATGTTTAATTAATTAATATAACATTGCAATTAAAAATATTAGAATACATAATGGAGTAAATATTGGTGTTGTTACAGAATTGCATTAATAAATGATAATGTAATATAAAATATAATAATGTGTATAATGTATGTTTGATATATATATATATATATATATATATATTATATAAAGAATTGGAGTTAAAGAGCAGACTTTCAAAATACATTTTGTCCAAAATTTGTAATTTTCAGAAAACAAGAAAAAAAATTCCACACATAAGAAAATTACGCACTTTACAGAAAATAACAAGTCAATCAGTAGGATGCGAAATATTGAACAAAATTGCTAAACAATTGCAAAAAATGTTAAACAAATGCACTTTGTTTGTCTCTAGTTAAAAAACATAATACACTTCGAAATGTTTGTTTTTTCAGTATATAAATTAACGATGAAAAAATGCTTTCTGAACGTCTCAGAGTAACTTATAATATAAATCTTTGAACACTACGTCTAACTAAAAATTGAAATTTTCGACAAAATGCATTTTGAATGCTCCTCAATTATCTCCTCTAATTATCTTACGATAAAAATTGAAAAAAATACAAATAGTACAAAGAGAACTTTATCTGAATAATTTTGCATGAAATTATATTTATAATTTGCGTAAAAATATTTTTATAGAGATAAATCACATATTTTATACAAAAAATAATGATAAATATAAATATTTAAGCATAAATATGAAAGTGTAAATTTAATTTGAATTTAAATTAAGATTTAAAATTCGAATGTTAGATTGAATATGGATTTAAATTTGAATCGCCGTGTTTTTTTACACTAGGACGTGTATCATTGATTGATTTGGATGTATCTGCAGTGCTTTATGTGAATTTGTTTAGATTTAAGCTATTACGTGATCGGCAATGTGCTTTAATTGGCTTGGACTGTTTCAGCGAGGTGTGCAAGGCGTTGAACAAGAATCGCGGCTTGTACGGTCGTTGGAGCGAACTGCAGAATGTCGCGATCGCGTCGCCGACCGGTATACCGCTGAGTGGTTCAGCTACTGCAATCTCACGTACAGACGAACTCGATTGGACCACCACCGAACTGCGGAAAGCACTTCGTTCCATCGAGTGGGATCTTGACGACCTCGAGGATACTATCTATATCCTTTTTCAATCTGAAACATTCCAATACAATTTACTGTAATTGAATTTGAATTTGATTTGCATGAATACGGATATCTATTTGAATTTGAATTTAACGTCAAATTTGTATTTAAATGAATTCAAGTTTGAAATTGAAATTTAGATAAATGTCGAAATTTATATCAAATTTAAATCTACTTTTTAATTTAAATTTGAATTTTTTATATCGTCCTTAATACGTGTGTACGTATCGTTGAAAAAAATCCAACAAAGTTCAAAATCGACAACAAGGAGTTGACCGTTCAACGGAGTTTCATTGAGCAGGCACGAGAGGAAGTCAAGGTAATTAATTAAATATTTAATTGATACTTAAAAAATAGTTCTATATACAGAGGAAAATCTATTTTCTTTTCGAGTTACTTTGGCAAGCAATTAAAAATTGCCTCATATTACGGTTACTTATTAAATATCTAATATCCACTTTTTAAATTACATAAGATAAATATAACATATAATAATATATAACACGTAATGTAATTTATATTGTACATAATCACTGCAATTACTTATATATTGCTATATTTGCATTACGATTCATAGTCACGCAATGCTTCGTTACATATATTAACACGTTCATGAAAGTGCCCGCGTTTGCGAGACTAATATCACCCTAATGGCTCTATTCGCTTATTAAAACTTTCGCAGATCATGAAGGACAAACTGAACTTAAGCAGAAGTCGGGATCGTGACAGCACAGCAAGACAGGTTTGTATATACATTGCGTTTCGCTTTACTTATATTCCACATCATATAACTGTATTTAGCATGCTAATTGTAAGTATTAAATTGTACATATATGTTGCAACCAGAAAACAATTAAAGAACATAAGCAGTGCGTCTGAATAATTGGTATGAAAAAAACAAAAACAAGAAAAATTGAAGAAATTTGAAAAGTAAAAGTAAGTGAGAAAAAAAGAAATGAGTCGAAAATGTACTCAGTGCAAGTCCGACAATTTCAATCGTTTAACAAGGAACTCAAAGAATAATCCCAACGAATATATAATCTTTCATCATTAATCTTTTTTCTATTTTAAGAATGTACAGCACTTACACTAATATTATATATAAATACATATATATATATATATATATATATATATATATATATACATTCTAACTAATAAGGCCCAGTTTCACAACTCACAGTTAACTCTTAATTGAGGTTCAACTTATTTCTCATCTTTTTCTAGAATTGAAAAGAGATAATGAATAAGTTGAATCTCGATAGAGCTAACCATGAGTTGTGAAACTGAGCCTTATTATATACATTTACTAAAGTTAACACACCTATATATACATATAATATTGACATTTAATAGCATTTATATCACATGGAAATGCCTCATATATATATATATATATTTTGAATGACTGTAATACATCTCAGATTAACATTAAAAGTTTAAGAAATTAAAATTTAAGAGATATATTTTTTTACAAAAATTTAATACCAGTAGTAATTTTCAGTATTAAATTGGGTTTCTATAATGAATTTAAATTTTTCATATCTTAACCTATACATAATCTTATATGTTACGAATATATATAAGGTTTTTTTTAAATCTCTATGCTTACAAAACACTCATTGTAACCTAAGTAATTTGACATTTGTCACAAGTTGAAATCTAAATTCGAGTTTAAATCGAATATGAATTTCTTTATCAAATTTAAACCTTCATTCATAGTTCTGAATTGTGAATTTTCTTTCATCTATTTATTTTAATTAACGCTGAACTAATGAAAATAACGTTTTTTTTTATCTTTTGAAATATTGAGATAAATTCATTATTTTCATTAAATTAAAAGTGGATTTTTCAAAATTAAAATTAAAATGTTTATAAATATAACAATTCGCAGCTATCTTCAGCTGTTTTCAGCTTTATTCAGCGACAGTGACATCTGTCGGTATTGCGTCCAATTTTTTTGTCAGTATTGAACAATATCGTTTTGCTGTTAGAGTTGACGCCGTTGACGCATTTCAGTGATTCTAACCTCAATAAAGTGATTCGTTATGTCTTATCAAGTAGCATTATTTTGATGGTTCACACGTTATAGAATTAATAAATCGGTCTAATTCTCGCAAACGATAATGGTATACACAATATTAATTTTTTTCGATATTAAACTTAATTAAGTTTCGCTATAATGGTATTTATGTAAGAGAAAATTGTGTCTCCAAAAATTCGCAGGAAACGATTTTTATCTTTAGTTTCTTTTTCTTATTTTATTTATGATAAGTATCATATTTTTCATTTTTTCATTGATAATTTAGTATTTACAAAATTTTAAACATTAAATACGTACGATAAGTATGTGTACAGTCTTACAATATATATAAATAAATAGAAGCAAATTTATTTTACATTATATTTTTTTAAGATGTCTGTTCATCAATATTATTAAATTGTTTGTCAATTTCATTTGTGATATTATTATTCTAATCTGTTAGGATTGCGTTTTACGACTAAAAATTAAATTTGACATACAGTTTACAGGATTGGATATGAATATATAAATTCACATGGAATTATTTAAACACTAAAGATTCAGTTGAATTATTTAGAGTTTTTAATTCTTATTTGTTGTGTATTATTTTAATTTCAACAATTTCATTTGTTATATATCTGTGATAATTATGTTATGATATTTGATGTATTATATATTTTTAGCCGCTTTTAGACAACAGCCCTGCGAGAGTGCCGGCTAATCATGGCACTACTAAATACAGCAAGCTAGAAAATGAAATAGATAGTCCAAACAGACAGTTTCTCAGTGATACAATGCAACAGCAAAATTCTATGATGAGACAGCAGGACGAACAGTTGGATATGATTGGGGAAACAGTTGGTACATTAAAAACAGTATCCAGGCAAATCAACAGTGAACTAGACGAACAAGCTGTGTAAGCTAATATTTTATTATTTTTTTTAGTTTAAAAAATTATAAAATATTAATATATCATAAATTTTTTATTTTTCTTATAATTAAAATATAAGAAATTACACATAACAATAATATTATTGATAATAATGAAATGTATATAACTAAAAATTTATTATTAATGTATTATATTATTATTGCAACATGTCAAGATGAATTTTTCACAGGATGTTGGATGAATTCGGGAATGAATTAGAGACGACTGATTCCAAGTTGGACGCTACCATGAAGAAGATGGCTAAGGTGCTGCATATGAGTAATGGTAACTATAACAATTACATTCCCGCTCCTACTACTCCGGTGACATCCAGCGTCACCGATCTTGTTTCTGATAACAAACCTTCCTCTCTTTCCTCTTTATCTACCACAATCGCCAATTGTTTTTTGTGTTCCAATGATTAATTGTCATGCTAATTGTCTTGCGCCTTTAAACAATTTGAGGGTACCAATAAAAGATATTGTAACATTTTCGGATACATTTTCAATCTGAATAGTTTTAAAAATACAATATAAACACAAACACAATATATAATATATATAACAAGAAATATTGTCATCTAAAAAGTATCCGCGGTTTTTTGTCACTAGATGTGTGTTGATGGTCATATATCTAGTGACAAAGTACCGCGGATACTTTTTAGATGACCTAATACATACATATATGTATAAAAAGAGGATACAAATAATGCTTTTAAAATGTTACAGTATTTTTTATTGACGTCATTGAATTGTTTTTAATAAATTAATTATTCTTTAGATTATTGTTTAGATGAAAAAAAAGATTGTCTATAATCTGAAAAGTACACTTAATTCTATTTGTACTTAATTCTATTTGTAGCGCAAGTTCGAGTTTTATGTAACAAGTATAATTTTAGAAATATTTAGAAATTTAAAAGAGAGAGATTTACAATCTCCTATTAAATTATAAAAATATCATTCCTAAATTTGTTTAAAAATTATCGTCGAAAAGAGAGAGATGTTGCACATGGGTAGCCTATATGTAATGTATGTAATATATTATTGCAAAAAATTAGCTGTCGTATAACCTGGATTAATATTACTATTTGTCCTATGAAATTATTTACTAAATTATGTCTAAATTATGTTAAAAAAGCAGTTACATTATTTTTGCTACTATGTTAATAATTGTGTATGTTATTAATTACATTTTTAATTTTTTTATTTATATTTTAATTTGATATTGTAATAGTAATTTTATTATTATTAATTGATATTCCTTTGTAATTTTAAAATTAAGAAATTTGTAATAATTTGGACAAATAATTTATTGGCTAATAATTAGCTAATATTAATTGTAACTATTTTGAACAGGTAATATTAATAATTAAAGATAATTTAATAGCTTCTTTTTTTTAATTCTAATATTTAGAAATTTAATTTAGATAAATTTAGTAAATAATTGACTAATTTTATAATTTTTACTAAAAAAAATAATCAATTCAAATTTTTATTAACATTTTTTGTTTTAGCATCCAATAACATTAATCATGTGTTGCATTTTTGCTATATCTTTTTAATTATTATTAGCACTAATTGTAAGTAGAAATAAAATGAAGATAATATAAGAAAATTAAGATCCTTTAGTTAGATGCAGACGAGTGGCATTTTGGGGCATAAATCATGATAGATGAATATATTATATCAGCCGATGTAAATTTTAGAGAACAAAGTATTATAATACATGAGACCTAATTAATTTTAACTGTTGCTACGTAAGTTTGCGTAGTTTGTTATAATTATAATTACCAAAGATATTGAGCCCTCTTTTGACAAATGTGAGTATAATATCAAAATCAGGACGGACCAGATCTTCGAGGGATTATTGTTAGTAGAATTGTATGTTGCAGAAATAGTACAGTTATTTATAAACTTAAACATTAAAGAAATGTACAGGATAATCTCGAAATATATTTTAGTTCTATATCTGGAAGGATTGAAGAAATAAATGCATAAATCAAGTAAATAATTTAGGAAAAGATAAAGATTTAAAAAGATTAAAATTTTAGAGAAAATAAATTATGACAAACGATTGAAAAATTAAAAAATTTAAAAAGCTAATAATTAAAAATCTACATGTGGAACGTTAATTTGAGAGAATCTTCTTTTCAAGGCAAAGAATTAAGAAAGTTTAAAGGTATAAAATAAAATTTTTTAAATCTTAGAGTAAAATGTATGTAATATTAAAAGTTTAAGGAATCAAATCTTCCTAAAGATTTAAACATTTAAGAAAATATTAAATAGTTTAAATCTATAAATTATAAAATTATGAAGTGATTGTGAATCTATTTCAGAATTAAAATTCAAAGAGAAAAAGAAATCTTATATAATTATTAGAGATTATTTTGAAGAAATATATATGCATTCACACATAATAATTATATATTTTTCTTTGTTGGGGAAGACAGTTGCATGAGACAGTTAAATAATATATATGTGCGAATTGAGGAGAGCGTAGATTGTATATGTAATTGAATGAAGACGTAGTAAAAATTGTTATCTCTTTTTTCTCGTCGACGACCAATTGTGAAAAAAGAAATATAGAATACAATTGACGAATAAAATATAAGAACCAATTTGTATTGTGAGCTGTAAACAACTGTAAATATTCCTATTTCCTTAATTTTTTTAAAATTGCTATTTACAATTTCTCACGAAATTATTTATATCTTTAGTCCAATGTTTTAAAAATCCTAAAAATTTTTAAAGTATATATTAAAAGGATGTAAAATAATAATTATTAATAATAATATGTGCTACGTTTTTAAATAGTTCATGAAGTTTTTAATATATTTGATCACACACATAATTTCGTGAGTAATTATAATACATAAATGTTATAATTGATCTCATTAAAACGATATGGATTTTATTTAATTTATATAATTTTATCGTATTTAAAATGAACTAATAAAGAATGTTTGCCACATTTTTTATGGGCAAAGTAAAAAAAAACAATATGAAAAATTATTCCAAAATCTCAATGTAATCTTTGTCTAGTCAGGATTATTGTTAAATGATAAGAGTATTTTCATAAAAATATAATCACAATTTAATCTCGTAAATGATTCGCATGGATCTCGTAAGAATCTCGAGTGACGCATGTGATGTTACTTTCCGTTTGTTTTAGATCGGGGACAATGGGTAGCCATTGGAGTGTTGACTGCTATATTGGTGTTTTTAATCATTTTATTTATAATTAAATGAATCATCTCTCATCTCCTTTAGCTTCTTCCCCTTTTCCTCTTTTCCTTCGATAATGATTTCGTTTGTAGCTTTAAATATAATATAAGTCCGTTTGACCTATTACTGATAGCGAGATTTTATGAATACTAGAAATAAATACAGAGTTAAATTAATTTATAATGGTCTTCTCTTAAATGTCATTCACCAATGATAAGTGCAATAGTATTTTCTATATAATTGCCTATATAAACTATTTAAGCAATCATATATTATAATTATAATAATGTTGTGTAATATAAAATATATTAAAATTGTTTTTCTTCGCTAACAAAACATCTCCAATTATAGACATGTTTCTTCTTTGTTTGAAAGATAAGAATATATAGTAATTTACGAAGTTGATCGAAAATTTAAAACGTTATAGATACGCATATATTAACTTTCCAAATTTATTATTTCAATAGTATAAAAGTTATAAGCATGTATAATCAACTTCGTGAATAACTGCAAAAATGGAAATAATATTGTTAAGTTAAAAGAAAGAAGGAACGAATGTTGCGTAACAGCAACCTAATACTTGTTCTCATATAGATGCACAATTAATGAAATAATATTATCCCTTGTAATTACTTTCGAGATATTTATTGTCCTCAAACGTTACAATTTGTAGAATGTTCTCATATAAAAATGCTCTCTTATTTTTATTTGCCTATTGTAAAAATAGAATCCGTACGTGAATTCTCTACCTCTGCGTGATTAGGAATTTCGACATTCAGCAATATGGATGACTATAATTAAATGCTACAAAATGATCATTACTCTAAATCATGTAGGTATATATATTCTATTCAATGTCTTTCAACGAATATTGTAGGCGAAAATAGATCTTTATTTTATTCTTATTTTAATATGTAAAAACGGATTTTAACGTTTATCGAATATATTGTCTCTATATTATTCCAGAAATAGGATCCTTTATTATACTATTTTGATTATTCACATTACTCTCTCTTTTTCATTGTTCCACTATTTTATAAAGGCCGAAGAACACTTTTAAAATTAACATTAGGGATACAATGGATAATGATTTGTTGGATAATCGGATACTGGATATGCAACGGATAATGCTTTATTAGATAACTAGATATCGGATCTTGTTCGGTCAAGTCGGATAACCGGATTTTACGAAGAGATTAAAAACTTGAAAATCTAATTGTTTTTTTTTTATAATGAAGAAAATTTTTTATGTAAAATATAAAAATGCTATAAAGATTAATATTTATACAGAAGATAGAAACAGATTATTGCCTAATAATGCAGAAATGCTCATATTTCTTATAAAAATATAAAATACTTAAAAAATAATATGTAACAAAAATGTAATACACAAACAAAGAATAAAGACATAAAAATTATTTCAATTTAATTTTTAAATTCTGTTACATTATACATATTAATTAACGTTTAAACATAATAAAAGAATATGTATGTAGTTTATAGATTGGTCCATATATATATAAAATATTTTGAAAATTAAAATTTTGAATATATATAATTTCTATCCAAATTATGGAAACGACTTTTTTACAATCTGGCCGATAACTAAACTATCCGGCCAGATATCGGATAATTGCTGGATATCCATTGCATCTCTAATTAACATAATTGTTTTCTTAAGTTCTAGATCATTGCAAATAACATTAACATGCATTGACATGCATTGGCAGTTACATGTTACGGATGTATACAGATCTATATACATATTTATACATAATTAAGTCATTACAACAATTATATAATAAAGCAAAAATGCAAATTGAATGATAAATGACGATAATCCAAATGTATATACTACAACAGAATCTTTGGTATGAAATGTTTGTCATTGCCACTGCTGTGCGCATATGTATCTATGCACAAAATTTATTCCTAGCTTATGCAAAATGCTTTTTAATTATTACATAAATTATTTAAGAAACTTGCCGTTTGAAATTATAAAAATTTATTTGTTCGGAAAAAAATATATTAAAAGTCTATTAAATAATTTCTAAATTATATCCTTGAATCACAAAATCTTTATTATTAAGAATCTATGTAAGTTATCATTAAGTATATTTGTTCTAAAATTATTAAGTAAATTTCTTTAAAAACTTGGTCATTTTTGTCCTATTATTTAAGAGCTTTATTTATTACTGGAAAATCAAAAGACTAATCTGGATTTTCAAATAATATTACGTACTAAAATTCTATTAATATCTTTTCTTTAAAAAAAAATGATTTTAATAATCTAAAAAAAGATTCTCAATCTAAAAAAAAATTTAAAAATCCTTGAGTCTTAACTTAAGGATATATAGGAAAATGTTTTATATAGTTTATAGCTTATAATATATACTTCTAAAAAATGACACAAAAATGAATAAGACGTAAGGGGATAAATTTTAAGGCTCAAGACGGACACGCTGATAACAATCAGTTGGTAAAGCCTTTCGAATATCATCGATGTTCTCCACTTCGATTCGCAATCTGCTGACTTCATCTTCATAATTTTTAACCCATTGCGTTTGTAGATTCTTCGCATCCGTCAATGCACGGATCCGCTGATCCAGATTTGCGGCTTTTATTTCTTTCTCAGCAGCAACCAGACGTTCTTCTAAGCGATTCAAATCGGCATCGTCTAAATTACAAAATTAAATTTATTTATCCTTTACATAAAAAAAAATATCGAATTGAATTTTGTAATACGAATCAATAATATATATTAATATTTAATATGATTATAGAATGCAGCGTTCAGAAATAAGTTTTTATACTTGCATGTTAAAGATAAATGAATCTGGAGTTTAAAAATCAAATGATTGGAGGAATTAGAACTCACCGATTTCTGGTAAATTTTCGAGCTCTCTAATAATTGCGGCAACTTCGGATAAAGCTTTATCAACTTGTTGCGACGCCAGAGTCACATTGGTTTTCGCTTGGCCAACTTTATAATTTGCCTAAAAATTAGAATTTTAAATATTTGCTTTAATTTTAATTGAATTAGAAAAAAATAGGTTTGGTTCTTTTACTGAGATTGATTAATTAACAATATTTTATCCATTACTCTTTTTTCCATCTCTTAACTAATATAATTAAATTCTTACCTCGGCGGTAATATTAGCGTCCTTGGCCATCTGAATTTCATACTGTCTGATCATCGAATCCGTAGTGTCAACTCGGAGGTGCAACTTCTCAGATTTCGTTCGCATTAGTACTCGCCCTATCCGCATAAGTCTGTAATAATAAATAAAATGTTATGATATAAATATTATAATAATATAAGATAAAAAAATATAGTAATAAATTTACTATATAATTTAATATTTTTTATTTAATATATAATAATTAAATAAATTTAATATATAATAATTAATTTAAATAATTATACCTGAGCGTTTTGCGCAATTTCGCGTGCACTTTTAGCGTTACCCTCCGATCCATTTAGTACTCTCTCCGTTTCTACAGCTTGCATGTTAGCATTGTTGATCAATTCTTCAATTTTCTGGATGTCCTTCAAAGCACTCTGAGCCTTAATACGTTCACGTTGCACCTCAGCATCAAATTCTATGCAATACAAAAATTATAATAAAAAATGTTTCTTGAAGAAAAACATTTTAAGAATAAATTTGTGAATTTTCTTGTTTTTCTAATTTCATAGAATGAAACATTTCTAGAATTTTCTTTTAAACTTACCTCCTAATTTCTTTAAAGTTTCCTGAGCTTCTTTCAGTGTCTGATCGCCACGTTTAACAGCGTCATTTGCCGTCTCGTTAGCTTCATCTAATTCAGCTAACAGTTCGGCAGTTGCAGCTTGTTGATCTTGAGCTCTTTCTAAAAGTTCTTCGCTCTTTTTAATTTTTTCAGTCATTTCTTTGATAAAATTCTCGTTTTGCTCCAATAAAAGTTGTGCCTGCTCTTTTATCTGCAAGCTCTATTTCATAAAACATAGATTATTTATATTTTGTATTAGTACTAGCCTTTATTATTATTATTTTTAGATTAATTAATATCTTATTATTCAAATTTATATATTATAATTTTTTCATCTGTATATTTATTTATAATATTTTGTAATTACCTCACTGCTAACGCTTTCTATTTGCTGTCGCAATTGCTCGATATCGACCGCAGGAAGCGTTAAATCGAGAATCAGCAAATCTAACGCTTCTTGAGAAACAGTTGAGGATTTAGTAGCTGCTATGGCAGTGAGATTCTTCACTTCGTCCATACGATCATCCAATTGCGCTAGTTTGTTCTCCAGATTCCTTAATTCATCCCTGCGCAGAATTTTTTTATATTCTAGATACAGTGATTATAAAAAAAGATTGCAGATATTAAATAAAATTAAAGAAAAAAGGAAAATATCACTCACGTTATATTGGAATATTTCGATATTGTTTGCTTTGCGAGATTGTAAGCATCCATTGTCGTATTTCGCGCCTGCTCTGCTAACATGTGAAGCTTCTTGGCTTCGTTCGTATTTCTAGAAAAATAGAACTCCAATATTAAATAATAATATCATATAACAACATATATCATTGAAAATTTCTCAATAAAATTTCAATCAAAAGAAGCCTTTTAATAATAATTTATAAATAATTCTTTATTTTTTATTTTTAAAAAGATCTTTAAAAAAGAGAATTAGTTTATTGTTATTAATACAAATAACAAAAATTGGAAATTTGAATTAATTTTCTAGAAACTTTTTTATTTATAAAATAAGTTAAAAATACTTTACTCATATTTACAATGTAAAATACATACATTTCGGCAAGTAGACGCGCTTCTTGTGCGATTGATGTCATTTGTTGATTTTGTTGGCCGACTTGTTCAGCACGCAATTTCGCTGAACTTAAAGCACTCGCTCCGTCTGTACCCAAATAGTCTTCTGCCTCCTGCCATTCATTGTAAAATTATAAAACTATAATTTAATAATTTAGAATAAAAATTATTCATAAAATTGCAATCAAATTTTTTATGCGAAATAAGGACAAGGGAGATAAAAGAAATTTTGCAGCTTATATGTTAATAAGTATTATTGTTGTATAAGTATTATGTAATGCATTCCTAAATAATCTTTTGAAACTTTTCGATATATAGTCAATATTCGAAATTATTATAAAGAAGCAAATTTTTATTTACCGTTAACTGCTCGTAAATTTTATCCAAGACTTTCTCTGCCTCATCAATACTGATTAAACCTTCCTCAGTTATATCGCGTGCATCATTTGCTGTGACGTCTACGGTTTGATAGATTTTGTCGATCTTATTTAATTGCTCACGCAGCTCATCTAGTTGTTCTACCAATGTTTTATTCTCACCTAAAGAGGATATCAACTTTTACTTATACAATAATATAATATTATAAGCGAAATCATAACATCAGCTGTTTATAATTTTCATTGTAATAAATAGTATTAAAGATAATAAATTTTAAAGCTTCATTATTTAACTTTAATGACTTTTTAACTATAATTATTACTTAATTCTCAATTTAAATAAATAGATTCAAATGTGATAACGATAATAATAATAATAATAATATTTACTGCCAGATCCTTGCTTGGCGGTAGTCAATAATGTTTTTATTCTATCTTGAACGTTCTTGAGCTCTTTCTCGAAATCCGAGTCCTTGATGACAGTGGGACTGCTGTTGATCTTATAAAGAGTGTCTTCGAGCTCAGCCAAACGTCGTCGGTGATCATTGACCGCCGACTGTACAAGATTGTAACAGTCGGGGCAGTCAACACAGCCGTGCTGGCGGTTATGTTTGTTCTCCTTGCAGCGATCACATCGTCTGCCTTCAACGTTCGTCAAGCACTGCCAATAATTGTCAAAAATATTAAGCAAAAAATACAAAGAAGTAAATTTATTGCCTAAAAATAAAAATTCAAAAATAAAAAATATAGAAAATTTTTATATAAGTTCATGAGTGGTTTAATATATACAAGGAATTATATAATCATTTTTTATTTAAAATATAATTTTATATAATTTAAAATCATACTCGTTTTGCTGTAATTTACTTATATTAACTCAATTTTATGTATGTATAGGCACTTACAGGACATTGTCCGTTTGCGTCACATTGCAAATCTTGCGATCCAATACTGTCGCAATCGCAAGGCTTGCAGCCCTCGCGACTGAATCCATATTGATAGGGCTCACAGGCATCGCAACGTTGACCCGTTACACCAAGTCGACACTGACATTGCCCTGTTATCGGGTCACAAGTGCGATTGTAAGAACCTTCAAGATCGCAATTACAAGGTATGCAACCCTGCAATACAAAGATACAAATTTTTTATGAGACAAATTAATTAAATTAACGTGTTACTTGATAAGTAATTTAACAAATTATTATATTAGTTAAAATCGATTGTTTTTATTTTAATTTAGGAGATTTTACCTCCCCACTCGCAATATGATAATAGCCTTCCTCGCACTTGTCACAATTGCGACCTATGACGTGCGGTTTGCAGGCACAATGTCCTGTTAATTGATCGCAAGGTGCAACTCTTCCATCATCAAGTTCCAAAGTGCCCGGTGGATAACACTGACATAACTTACATCCGTCTTCTTTACGATCTGATAGCGCGTCTCCATAATATCCTAATATATAAAACATAATTAAATATGTATTACATATTACAGAAATTATGTGAAAGAAATATTATATAATAGATTATAAAAGAATTTTTAATTTATATTTACCGGCTAGACATTCCTCACAATGAAAGCCCGCTGTATTATTAACACATTTGAGACATTCTCCTGTTTCGTGATTACAATTTCTAACTGCATTTAAATCGATATTGTTGTTGCAATCGCAAGAACGGCAAGCGAGACCTTTTTCAGGATTTCCATAGTAACCATCGGAACACGTTTCACATCTAGGTCCTGTACAAGAACATTTCATATAATTTTTAACAAATTAAAAAAGAAGGAAGGAAAATAACATAAAATGTACTAATTAATTAAATTCTTCTTTTTTAATTATTTGAAATGTTATATTTAACTATTTAGAAAATGTGTTTATAAAAACTATGTATTATGTTTACCAGTCCTGCCAATAGGACATTCGGAGCAGATGGGATCTGGATTGTTGCCCAGAAGAATGCAAGGTCCGTTATCAGGACAAGGACACGGTTTGCAATCGTCCGGGGTTCCTTTCAATGGATAACCATAGTATCCTCTACTACATAACTCGCAATTGCTTCCTGCAGTATTATGCTGACAGATACATTGTCCTAAAATATAGAAAAAAATATATTCAAAATATTATTAAACATTTCAAAAGATATTTCTAAATATCTATATATTTATAAGAATTTATCATTTTTTCAGAAATTGTTAGATCATAACAAGCAAAAATTGCAATATACTCGAAAAATTAGAAAATTTATTAAACATAATTCGACAAAAACGTAACAATAAAACGTAAATCCGATTTTTTTGTTAAGACTAATAAAATAATTTTTCTTCTGCAATTCAGTTTGACTTATTCTTTTTTTAAGACTATAATAAAATATAATAAAATCCAATTACCAGTCTCCGCCTCGCAAATATCAGCGTGCCCATTACAGTTGCAAGGAACACAAAGAGCAAAGGGACCGCCATTGGGAGGATCGTGATGGAATCCGGGTGCGCACGACTCGCAAAACTGACCGACGTAGCCGTGAGGACACTGGCAGTGTTCCACCCAATCGGCCGACTCGCCGGCTGCGCCACGATGAGCCGTCTCTAATTTCACATCGTCCAAAAATCCTCGGCCTTGATGAGTATAAGTCCCACGAATTTTTATGGCGGTCAAGTTTGATAGAATTGACATGAAGGCACGAGAAGATAATCGTGGTTGCCAGCCGTAGTTGACGTGCTCATGCAATTTAAACTTGTATTCTTGAGGCTACAAAGATGATAACATTAATGTAATATTACGAGAAAATGTAATAAAAATAAAAACACTTACTGTAACAGTCGGTAAACGGTTGTTCTGACCAAAGATCGGCTGTGTGATCTGTTCGCCGTTACCACCTTCTAAAATTACATCGCGCGCTGTAGGAGCCGGTCCAGCTTCCCCTATCCTCAGTATGAACGATATGTGCTGATTATATGACGCTCGCTGGTCTCCCAGAAATTTATCGGGCGCGAGAAAGTACACATTATCACGGTCGAGTGCAGTAGCTGAAATCGTCTGCGTCAGTGCATCGTAATGCAATGGAATCGGATTACCGGCTACAGATGCAGACCAACGTTCGTTTCCTCGCACAAACATACTCTCGATGAACAACTTCGAGTAACCGGTTGCCGGTCGACAGACTGAGGAATGGCCGTAACAGAAACAGGGAGTGCAGCCAAACTCGTTATCTACTGCCAGATTGAAGAATCCTGGACGACACCTAATCAATTTCGGCATTCGGGTTAATTTCGAGTTACTTTTGAGGAGTAAAATAAGTCAACAGAGACTAAAAAATTAGATTCACAGAAGATAATAGAAAATTGATTCCAAACTGATCGAAGAATCGTTATTGAAATCGTTGTTAAAACATAATGCGGAAGAAATCCTATATAATCTGGCACAAATAGTACGTCAATTATTTTTCAATGATAATAATATAAACTAAAAGATCAAAAAGCCATAAGTTCCTCATCTAAAACGATTAAAATATATCGAGAGTCAATATATTAAAGTGCAAATTGATTAATTTAATATTCTTTTTCAAAGATTTAGTTGAATAACATAGCAGAACTAACTCTCTGCAGCGTTTTCCCTCGACGTTTTCCTTACAGACGCAAACTCCTGTGATAGTATCGCAGTTGGGAACATTATTCGCCGATCCTGCTAAGCTACACTCGCATGAAGTACAGCCCTGCGAACCGAAATTATAGAAGTTGGCCGCACAACGATTGCATTTATCCCCTGTTACACCAGGTTTACATTGGCATTTACCCTCGCTATTACACTGCAAGCTTCTCGAACCTATAATTCATTATACTTTTATTTATTACCTTACATTTATTTAATAATATTTATATATAGAGAAAATTATGATGTTCACAATTCACAATTTTATCAAATATACAATCATCATAATTTGTACTATTTAATATTATTGTAGCATTATTACCAATTTCGTTACAGTTGCACGCAACGCAATAATTATCTTCGGGCCGTTGATAATAGTTTTCACGACATCGCTCACAATTGGCACCATCGCGATTTGCTCGACAATCTAAGCAATGACCTCCATGACCCGTTAGCTTATACAATTCCTTGTCGAAATAACATCTGTCCGAATAGCCGTTACAGTTGCAAGCTATAAGAATTAATAAGTAATCAAATTAATAGATTAATAATTGTAGAATTTTTAAATACGATAGAAAGAGAAACATCGAGATCCGGTCTTTCATTATCTGATTAACTTGTGGTTAAGCTGATGTTTGATCCAATGGGCTTCATTCATGACATTATCATAGATGAAGCTCATTGGATAAAATATCAAGCCCAATTACAAGTACATATACAAGTTAACCAGATAATGGAAAATGGGACTCAAATATGTTCTGCTTCTTACATCGCTATATTTAAACATTAAATATTAAAATTTATTATATTATAATGAAAAAGAATAATGTAGGAAGATGTTAAGAATGAGATGTATCACAAATAATGTAAACAAATGTAAACAAATAATGAATCTAATTATCTAATAATATTAATTATTTTTAATTATATTTATTTAATAATTATAATTTTAAATAATAACTTGATATTGAAGTTCAAAGTTGAAAAATTTATACAAGGATATAAAAGTTTTATTTAAAATGTTCGTTTTTCTATTTCATTTAAAAATTTACATGATGCAATGATAAATATTTTAAACAAATAATATATTATATAATAAATAATTAATTACTGGATCCTGAATACCGAGGGCGTATTTCATTCCGTGACGTGCACAGCAGTATGCAATCCCCTATCATTAACAACGTGATCAATTTCATTTTTCCGATAAGAATATTTACAAAGGTCGATGCATTATAATTTATTTTATTGCTTTATTATAATCTCATTACAATTGCTTAATCATATACTTATATATTTAATTGCACTCGAGTCTAATTATCGAATTGTTACTTCAACTGTTATACATTTTGGGTCACTGTCACTTATATTTCATGTGATTACAACTTAGAATACTTCCTTGATTGATCTCTAGATATTTTTCGAAAATCTATTTTTTATTATGTCTTTTATTAGGAATTTCGAGGATTTTGATTAGTGAACAGTTATACTCTTTATCGTGGTGCACCGAATGCAGACAAAAGTGCATTGAACGGCCGTGTACCTTCGCCACAAGCCATGCATCCCCACTCAAGAGAGCGGCAGATGAACGTAAAAGGCAAAGCTGGTATCAGGTAATACTGGCGAAGGTGCACTCGCTTATGGTCTTTGCAATGCGCACCATGTTCCTCATTCGATATGGACAGCATTATACAAAGAAAAACCAAGTAGTCCATAATGCAGTTTCTCGTGCAGTTATTTCAGTAAAACGAGTTATTTGCGAATAAAATTCTATTAAACATTAAACTAAAAATAAAAAATCTTTTTTTACATGTAATTAATGTTATGGCTTTTGATAATTTAATTGATTTCATTATGTGTAACACATTATATATCCGTCAACATTTTGCAACAAAGATATAGAAATATAAGGGCCAGCATTTTAACACAGTTATATTCTATTATCTTCTTTCACTACACAACTCTAGTTTGATTTTATTCATTTCCTAAATTAATTTAAATTAGATTAACACAGCAACCTTTTAATTAAAATATTATTTGGATAATTATATGAAAAATAAAAACGATCAAGAACAGAATAATAATTAAAATTATAGCAAAGAATTTAAAAATAATTCTTAAAAATAATTCTTCTTTTCGTTATTTATTTAACTTAATAATATCTAAACTTTTGTTTGCTTTATGTATTTTAAATTCTCTCCTACAATTTGCTACAATTTAAATGAAATCATTGATCCATAGCTGTTTATATTAGTTTTGATATTTATTTAAATACCGATTTTTCCAAATTCATTGAGGAATTGTGTGTGATGTGCAAAATTAGTTGCATATTGCTCTTAAAACTTTATAAAACATGCATCCGATGTTTACTGAATACTTACGTTTGCATTCGTGCGCATCGGTAGTTGTGGCACGGCCCCAAGGAGCGTTATTGTAAAAAGGCAGGCACTCGTTGCAATCTGGACCAGCGGTGTTGTGCTCGCATCTGCGAATAAATTTAGTTTTCTAATTAGGTATATTGCTTACAATTTTGTCAAAGATGACAGTAAAATTATAAGAATCACTATATTTAGTAGTTTAAAGATCCTAATTTTATTTTATTTTTTAAAATATTAGTTTATTGGAAATAAAATGTTTTATCACAATTTGTTCAATATTATGTTTAAATGTTCCATGTTATTTAATTTGCGTTCATTAAGTATATTATACGTCCCTGAATACATGCAGAGAGCAGTATCAGTTCCGCCAAAACTTAAAACAGACGATCGCAAGCATTACTAATAAACGAGCGTATAATCATACATCTACCTTTATTCATATCCTAATATTTCAAGAAGTGTAAATCCAGAAATCATATTCTTAATACAATTTATACTATTAAATATGTATGTGATGCAAAAAAATATTTTGGCATGATATTAAAAAATTTTCAACATTAAACAGTGTAAAATTTGAATGGATTCTCGAAATTCAAAATCACAATTATACTTGTATCATGGAACAAGTGAGAATAAATAAAGTTATTACTGCGCGGTAATTGGTATGCCAAATTAACAAGTAATTTATATTAATTTTCTTACATTGATATTTACAATCTTTCATATGTTTCGGCTTACTTCAAACTATCTTCAGCAAAGTACAATCATAATCGATGTGCGCAACTGTGTCCGGATAAAAATGTCTGAAACGTATGAAGATGTAATATCAATGTAAGAAAATTAATACAAATTACTTGTTAATTTGGCGCATCAATTATCGCGCAATGATAATTTTTATTTACTCTCACTTGCTCGCGATAGAAGTATAATTATGGTTCCAAAAAATTTTCGTACATAGAAACCTTGAAAGAAATAAGAAAAAAGAGAAAAAGAAGGTAAGCAGATGTCAAATATCAAAGTATAATTGCATATATACGTATATATAAAAAATTGCTAAGAAATAGGACTTATTACCGACAGACTCTGCGAGTTTTGCCATCAACACTGGTACTATTCACGCATTCTCCGGCGTGGCCATTGCAAGCGCATCTCGCACCGACTGCTATATCAGCTATCGCATAATAATAAGATTTCAGCACTTGCGCGTCGCCGAAAACCTCATCGCCGAACGTGTTCAATCTGTCTAAAGTAATTTTCAAATCTGATGCTTGCACCCATTCCTATAAAATAAATTGCGTCTTTTAAGCCACTCGTTAAACAATTGTGATAAACATAAACAAACTACAAAAAAATTTTAATTTTATAATTAAAGAAGTTTCATTCTTTCAAATTATTTCTTATTTTATTAAATTATTAATATTCTTTAATCAATCATTCTAATTTTTTATGGCCGATTATAACAATTCCCTGATCTCGTTAATGAATCAAAATAATATTAATGTAAAATACAAATTTTTACTTATATTACAAATAGAATTAAAGTTATAAGAATATATATTTCATAGCGAAAATTGCATAACAATAAATAACGAGTTTCATCATAATAGAGCAGTAAGTAACGCAGTAAATATAATAAGAATAGAGGTATGAAAAAATGAAATAAAAATAAGATATGTAAATAATTATATACAAAGAATATATTGTTATAATAATAAGATAATAATAATAAAAATAAGATATGTAATTAATTATATATTGCCTGAAGTTCGGTGTTGGTTTCAAAATAATAGGCGGAAGGTCGGCGCTACAAGGGCGAAAAAGAGACGGTGCCT